CTAGTTACCAGTGTCACCAAGAAAGTGAGGTCACTTCTTCAAGGTCCCATTACCTAGGCCCTTTCCTCCAACCAGGCTCATCCAACACAGCTTCTGGGCTGTTGACCACTCACCCTCCTCATTCATGTCATCTCCCCACCTGTTCACCCATGCCCCACACAGCCTGCCCCTGGCTCCCTGGAAATGTGCCAGGTTCCCAGCTTGGAGGACAGAACTGAGTTCATGCCTCTCTTTTCTTACCAGTCCTGGAAAAGCCTTTGTGCCTCTCAGGCCTCCCCAGACTTCCAACCTGCACAATGTGGTGACGCACTTCCTGAGGACATCAACTGTGGAGGATGTAGTACCTATAATGCCAGTGGGCTGGAGTCACAGAAATCTGATGTATAAACATAGAGGTAGAAGAATGACAGGAATGAGTGGTATGTGGTATGGAACACCACTCAAAACTGGCCTGAGGGCCAGCTGTGTGATCTTGGGGAGTCACCATCCAGCTTGACCTCATTTCAGATCTGTACCTTCAAGGGGTTAAAATTAGAGGAAATTCAGATACTGTCATCCACTGGCCTAAAACCTTCCAGTGTCCTTCTGTTAAACAAAGAATCATACCCTGTGCTCAGGTCAGTCCCTGTGGGGCCAGCCTCCACAGTGGCTCCTAGTGATCCTGCCTGCAGGTGGGATCATCCTTGTGTATCCATTGAGTGTCAGTAACTGGCTTCTGAACAACAGAATGCAGCCAAGGTGAGGGAATGTCAGGCCCCAGTTGAATGAGAAAAACGGTCACTTCTGTCACACTCTTATTCTTGCGTTTCCTCCCTTCCTCTCTACCTCTGCTTCAGTTTCCTTCTGTCTCTCTCTGTCTCTGCCTGTCTATCCCTTTCTCAGCCATAGTTCCTGAACTGGGAGAGCAAGTGCAATGTTTCGAACTGTCCTGTCTAGAGACCTCCAGGAGAGAACTGAGGGAGTGCCAAGGTCAACAGCAGGAACTCAGGTTTCCCAGTTCAGACTGTATCCTGACAAAACCCAGGTGAGTGAGCTGGGAGCGAGTCTGCCCCAGTTGAGCCTCAGCTGAGACGCAGCCCCTACTTCATAGACACCTAGGAGCAGAGGCAATCAGCTGAGGAGCAGAGGCAATCAGCTGAACTGGGCCAAAACACCTGGTCTGCAGAACTCTGGGGTGTTAACATTCGTACTTTACAGGTGCAAGGTTTGGCAGCAAGATTGTTTATGCCTTAGTTTCTCCATCTGACGGTTGGCAATAATGATAAACATACCCTCTCTGAGGTTATTCTGGAGAGTATTAAAGAACTAATGTTTGAAAAATGGTTAGAACACTTGGGTATCACAACTACTGTGTCTATATGTTATAAATAAGTTTTTTTAAATGCCTCTTACTCCTGACGTGAGGACTGGTGCCTGGTGGCACATAGGGAGTACTTCATAACAGATAAATGGTGAATGACTGGCATTATGGAAAGCCTTGCAAACATCTCCTCCTGCCCTGGCCTTGATTGCCTATGTGAGGAGCTGGATCAGACTATCCATCTGTGTAGCCTTTTCTATGGTTTGGGACCAGAACATTTCAGGATCCTGGAGACCTCTAAGAGAGAGATGGGACTTCCTGGGTTGGAGTGGAAGTTTTCAGGGTCAGCTGAGCCTCCTCCAGGGAAGGCAGGAACTCTGAGCTGACGACAGAACCAGACCCAGCCCAGGGTCTGGAAGCCAGGAAGAGGAGCAGACAAAGCCCAGGAGGCTCTGACAGAACTGGGAGAGGCCAGGAGAAACTCCTGGGTCCCATTTCACCAGATCCTCCTGCTGCGTGGAAGGCACTGGGCAGAGATATTTGAATGACTCCTTTTCAATCTAGAAGTGCAACTTTTATTTGTTCAAAATTATACATATACCTAACATTTAACTAGTGAATCTCTTTGCTGAGTGTGGGCTGCAGGGCTGTCTGTGGGGCCAAATTAGGACCTCATTTCCCAGGCGCAGCTGTACACTGGGAATCTGGTGCCCCTGGGGGAAAAGCTCCAAGTTCTCAGCCTCCAAAGGAGGCTCAAACAGGACATAGTGGGGAGGCAGCTGAGAGCCCCTTCACCCTTCCCACCTTAAAGCTACCTGCTGCCAGAATATTATTCAGCCTTGAAAATGAAGGAAATTCTGACACAGGCTACATCATGAGCCTTCAGGATGCTATGCCCAGGGAAATGAACCAGTCACAAAAGGACAAATATAGGATAATCCCACTTGCATGATGTCCCTAGTGAAGTCATATTCACAGAGATGGAACTGGAGGAGGTTTCCAGAGGGTGGAAGGAGAAGGGGGATGGCGTTTCTGGTTTGCAAGATGAGAAGAGTTCTGGAGAGGGTGGTGGTGACAGCTGCACAGCAATGTGAATGTAACTAATACCACTGAGCTATGCACTTACAAATGATTAAGATACTAAAGTTTGTTGTGTGTACTTCATCAATTTGTTTTTCTGCAAAAAGCTTTATTGTTTCTACTTGGTCCAATGCAGGTGACAGGGGCTCCAAGGTGGTTAAAATGGTTTCGGGGAGAGGCTCAGGCAGAAGCCAGGCACCACGGGGACACACAGGGGTCCCTCAAAGGCTCTGGGCTCCAAGAATGAGCCTTTCGGAGAGATACTGGCCTGGCCCAGCCTGTGGCCACCTCCACCACTTACTCCCAACAGTTCCAGAACAAACAGGCAGGGGCCTGATGAAGGGCAGGCTGGTTCTGAGTTCTCTCTTCCCCCCTTATGACTACAAGGGTCACCCCTGCAGGGCCCAGAGTGACTGCAAGTAGGCAGAGGACAGAAGAAATGGTGAAAGCGGTTGTTGAACCAGTGATTGTGAGGTTGATTACTAATGGTTTAGTCAAACTCGGAGGGTGCAGAGGTGATCTGCAAGGGAAGACTTAATTGCCACAAGCGTGCACAAGAGAGCTTGTGGGTTTGTTGAGTGTGCAAGCACTGCCAAATGGCTCACAGTGGTTGTGCTGGATGGGGAGCTGGAAGGTGCAGAATGGTGGAGTGGTTGGTAACCTAGCTCAGTAGGTGTTCAGAGTGGCTCTTGCACAGGGAGTGTGTGACAAGACACGGTTGAACAGCTTGCAATGGCTGTGAAAAGCAGAAGCCTGACCATGAGCATGGGAGCAAGCAGTTGTTCAATGCCACAGAGGGTGTGCTGGAGTGCAAGTTGGATGGAGCGAGATGCACATGCATGGGTTGGTTGTTGAACCACATGTGGTGAATGGGTAGAAGGTGACTGTGGCTGGCAAACAATAAGTATATGAAGTGTGAGGCTGAACAGAGAACAAGGCAGTGGCTTTTGAGTTACACAGTGAGTGTGCAGTGATTAAACGGCAGAGTGGGTGTGCAAACAATGTAAGTTTGTATGGAATCAGTGTGCAAAGGGTGATTACTAATCCAGTGAGTGTGAATAGTTCAGCCAGTGTGCCAAATCAGTGATTGAAAAACACTCAGGGAAGTGTGCAGAGGGACTGTCACATGGCAGTGCAGGAGCAGGTGCGGTGCAGGTGAGTACACCAAGGGGCTTTATTGGATTGCCTACAGCAACTGTGCAAGGAGAAAGTGCTGCATGTCCGCGCTAACAGGGGGGTGCTGGAGGGAGCAGTGACTGCTGAATCCCTGTGAACAAACACAGAATGATCACATTGGTTAAGCTTATGTGCCCACGTGGCAAGGCCACAGTGCCACTTGGTCAAATGCCAGTGTGGTTATTGCTGTTGAGAGTTTTTAGATAAGATTCACATTTAACTCAGCAGACTGAGCAAATAAAGCAGATGACCTGCCAAAACCCTGCAGGTGGGCCTTGTCCAATCAGTTGAGGCCTTAAAAGCAAGGACCAAGGTTTACAAAGCAATTCTGCTTCCAGACTGCAACACAGAACCCTTGCCTAGGTCCAGCCTTTGGACCCACGACAACTTCAACTCTGGTCTCTTGCTCCAGGCTTCCCTGGACTCACACTCACTGGCCCCATCTCTCTCCATACATCTGGCTGGTTGCAGAACACATCCTGTGACCGAGTGGCACACAGGTGTGCAAGGAGCAGAACTGGGATGATGCAGATAGGCGTGCAGAGCTTAAAATGTAAACAGTGCATAATGCTGTTTGCTTGGTACACAGAAGTGTGCAAGGACCGGGAGTTGGGTGGGAAGAATGAGTGTGCAGAGTGGTTGTTGAATTGGTTTGCAAAGTGACTCTGGATGGCAGATACTTGTGTGACAAGTAGGTGGATGGTGCAGGACAAGTGTGTAAGAGGCCTGTCTCCAGCCAGCCTGCAGGTGGACCCTAACCAGGGCCCTCTCACTGCTGGTTGGGAGCAGAAGGGTGGCCCTGGAGTCCTGGAGGGAGACAACACATGAGTGCTGTGACCTGCTCCTTACTGTCCACAGGGCCCAAGTGTTTCCTGCTATAGTACCTGATGCCTGGGGCCCTGGCCCAGAGCACTGACCAATGGAATCTCTGGTTCAGGACCTTGCCAGGGGAGCCAGTGGACAGCAGAGGAAAGGAAGTCGCTAAATAGTGGCTCAAATGTGGGAGACAGGCCCTGCAGCATGGGGGTGCCCGGGGCCCAGTGTCTCTCTCCCACCTGAAGGGGCTTGCTCCAGAGGGAGAGGTGTGGGCCTGGGGGTGAGGCACTACTGTGGAGGGGGCCTGAGCTGCTGTGGGTAGGAGGCCCATTGGCCTGGGGCTGGCATTTGCTGAGGGAAGGCTGAGACAGGAAGAAAATCAAGCCCCACACCACTTACACTCCTGAGCCCCCAGCATACTCCCTCCCAGCTTTGCCATAGGTCCAATTCACCAGCAACTCTTCACCCACCCCTTCACCAGATCCCAGTCCCCAGTCCTGCTGGGCCCTCTGGACAAGCGCAGAGGTCCGGCAATAACAGGACAGTGCCACACCCTTAAGAGCAGGAACTACATCTGGGAAACCAAGGCAACAAGACTCAGCAGAGAGACAGCATGTCCCAAGCCATATGGGAGGATGCAGCTTTATTTCTTCTGGAAGGGACCCTAGAGCAGGGCAACAGCTTCCCATGGTAGTGCCTGAAGGGTCCTGTCCGGACATGTCCTGTCACCCTCACAGCACACACTAAAGAGACTCCATGCTGGCCATGACTTCCTCTAGCTGCTGCAGGAGATCCTCTGGCTGCGGAGAGAGCATGCTGGTGTCCACTCTCTGGAAGTCGGGGTTGACTACCACAGACGCCAGCACCTCAGCAATCCGGCTGATGTCAAAAATGGTCTGCTGGGGGCCCAGCCCAGAGCCCTCACCATATTCCACTTCACCAGGGCCTATCTCCTTTGCTAAGAGGAGCCTCCTTTCAGCAATGACCTTGAGGAAGTGGTAAAATTCTTTGAAATTGATCCCAGAGCAGGACCTCATGATGACCTAGACCAGAGAGGAGTGACCAGTGAGCTATTGCTCACCTGCAATCAATCAGCAAGTTTCTGCTGACTGTGGACAGAGTCCCAGCTGCAAAGGACCCCCCAAGCTGTGGACCTGTCTTTGAGGATGGAGACAGATACCTGGGGGCCAGTCAATGATTCCTGGCAGCCCCTGTGACCTGCCTCAGCCCTAGACTGACCCTCTTACAGGCAAGCCAGGCAGCCACCCCTCCCCCCAACTGCAGCCCTATCCCAGGTGAGCTCCCCACCCCCTCCGTGGGTGGCCCTGGCCTGTCCCCACTGCCTTCTAGGCCAGACACCACACCTGGCAGTGGTGGTGCCAGTCAGGCATGGTGTCCCTCCACTCGCCGACCTCCCGTTGCACAGCACGGAGCTCCTGCTGCAGGAAATGCCACATGTTGGCCAGGTTACAGCCATTGACCCAGTTATGGTTGATGGAGATAGTGTCCTCCTGGAAGAGGTAGGTTGCAGGTTGTCTTTTCCCCATCCTGAGGTCCTCTCATCCCTACTCAGCTGGGAATGCCTGCTTCCACCTGTCTCCCAGGGGGTGCGAGCGGGGAAGAGGAAACTGGGCCTGGGATCACCTGAGTCAACAGCTAACCCAGAGTGGGACTCCATAGGGGCCCTGGACAACCCTGTGTGAGGACTAGGAAGGTAATGTAGGAAGGAGGGAATGGGGGCTAGAAATCCTTAGGACGCTGTATGGAGTTGACATGCCAACACACAGGACCAGCCTCACCATGGCCTGCCTTGTCACACACCCAGGGTCTCCCAAAGGGACAACCTACCCACTGTGGAGTCGGGAGGGGTAGGCACAGCCCTCTGTCTTCAGGAAGCATCTAGAAAGGTGCCAAGGGCAGGCTAACAGGCAGCATTGGGAGGGAGTCAGGACCAGCCTGCTGAGCCACACGGTGTGTCTCCCTGCTTGCCTGGGCCAGCTCTTGGGCATGTGGGACAGGGTGAGCCCACCCTACCATGTTGTGGACTTGGTGGTGCCACCCGCTGGGCACGAACACCATCTCGCCTGCCTCCTGCATGACCTCCAGTGGGGGGCTGCAGTGGTTGAGCCCTGGGTGTGGGCGGCTCTCCAGGAATGCAGGGGCGGTCACGTCGTAGGGCAAGCCACCATGGCAGTCCCGTAGGGCTTCTTCTTGCCCTGGTGGGAAGAGGAACCACTTTTTCCTCCCGCAGATATTGACAGACCAGCTGAAGGAGCGGAAAATGTCAGCATGGAATGGCGACCTGCAAAGAGTCCCTGTTGGTGCCTTGTGGCCGGGGTGTGGGCTGTGGTTTTTCCAAATAGACTGGCCACGATTTGGGGCCTGAGATCCCCAGCTCTTACGCTTGTCTGTGAGCCACAGGGGTGAGCCAGACCTCCCCACCCCAGCACACCCAGCAGGAGGGGCACAGGCTCTGGGCAGAGCCACAAAGGAAAGAGTGGAAGTGGATTTGGAAATGCCAGGCCAAGAGAACTCTCACAGAAGCTCTAAGGGAGCCGACATGGTTCAGCACAGTAACCAGGGACAAGGTGCAAGGCAGTGGGTGGGAGCAGAGAGACGGTTACCAGGTGCCAGTGGGCCCCATGTAGATGAAACGGTAGTCGTCCACATCCAGGGTGTCCCAGTATTCGTTGAGCCAGTCAGAGGAGAAGTACACAGGCAGGGTGAATATGCCCTCTGCAGAGGAGTCCCTTCGGAGAGCAAGCGGCATGAGGATGCTGTCTCCTCCACACACCCGGGCCCAACATGGTCCCTGATGTGAGGGACCCTGGGCTGCCAGGCTGAGTGGGGCCACCTCCAATGACCCAGCCCTAAGTCTGACCACTGATGACTAGAGCTCCCGGTGACCCCAGCTGAGCTTACCTAAATAACTGAACCAGAGTGGTGAGCAGGTGAGATGGTTGTGGGTACTGTGACAGCACCCAGATGACCCAGGTAGGTAGCAACCCAGGTGCCTTGGGCCCCCCAGCACCAGTCCCACAGTTTCAGACTCTGGCTGAGTTGGGGTCTAATGAGTCACCTGAATCAGACTGGCTTTCTGAAACTGTGGGCCTCTTCAGTGTTTTCACTCACATTTGTGACGGGGGCTCTGCTGCGCAGACGCAAGGTCATGGACTCAGGCACAAGGAGTTATACACACCAAGGTCCTTTTCACCCTCAGCCTCTCCAACCTTACTCCACAGTGAGTCCCACAAGCCAACCTTAGCACAGGAACACATTAAACCTATCCAAAGGAGAACGGCAGGCTGGAGTAAGCTTCTGGGCTCGCTAACACGCCATGCTCACTCAGTCAGAGGCCACAGTGAGAGCCCAGTGGCACCAAACCACTTGGAGCTGCCCAAACACCAGGCCTTTGTGCACTCAGACTCCTGCCTGCTTACCAGACTGTACCAGACTGTCTGCCGGGGCCAGGCCTGCTCTGCTCTGTTCATTTAGGGTTGCCAAGGAAAACACAGGACACTCAGTCAAAACCAAATTTCAAATAAACAATAAGAAGTTTTTATCATAAGTATACCCCCATCTGGGATATACTTACACCCGAAAAACCACTTATTGCTTATCTGTAGCTCGACTCCACAGTGCATAAGTGTCGGGACCTACAAGTCCAATACAAGGTCTGAGGGCCAGGACCAGTGTCTGGTCACACTTTAATCACTTTCTACACAGAAAGCTCCATGCCAAGCTCAAAGAGTAGTGGCAGGAGAAATGAGGACATGCTGGGGGTGCTGCAGGTAGGGGCTGGTGCTGGTGGGTCTCACGTACTCTAACATTGGTCTTAGGGTCACTGGAGCCTTAGTTCTAGTCTCACTATGCCTTTTTAAGCCTTGTTTTCCACATCAGCATAACAAAACTTCGATTTGTGTCCTCTTTCATCTTATGTTAATTGAGCAAGTAGCTGCCAGCTGGGGGAAGTCTGACTATGATTGTTTCTGGTGAAGTGCATGCCTCTGGGGGGCAAACACCAGGGGACCACTTCCAGGAGTGGGCCGGGCACAGAGAGAGAGATGTTTTCACAACAGCATCGTTTGAGTTCTCCAGATGGAAATGTATAGGAGGGAGCAAAGAAATTCCTCTTTAAGGAATTGGTGTTGCTCCGCAGTGAGGGAGGCCTTAAGCAGGAGGGACACAGTCCTGCTGGAAAGCCTAGCAGTGGGGTGCAGGAATTGAGGCAGGTGGCCATTCAGGAGACTAGCAGTACAACAGGATGGACCTGGAGTAGTGGGGCTGGAAAGGGAGATTGGGCCCTGACTGGTGTGGCTCAGTGGGTTGGGTGTTGCCCTGCAGACTGAAAGGTTCGATTCCCGGTCAGGGCATAAGCCTGGGTAGCAGGTTCGGATGTGTACAAAAAGCAACCAACTGATGTTTCTCTCCCTCTCTAAAATCAATAAGCATGTCCTCAGGTGAAGATAAAAAAGGAAAAAAAAGGTAGGCTGTTCCAGGGGACACCTGAGAGGAGGAACAAGGGCTGGGTGCTGCCAATTAGATGGGCAAATGCGACCAAGAGGTGATAACCAGAGCCCACCTGCACCTCCACCAGTCCCACGTTCCCCACGCAGCCTATTGCGTGCATACTACGAGTCGGCCACACTGTTCTGCAGAGAGCTGTGTTTCTTATACAGATTTAAATTTCTAACTGGGAAAAAGACAGAATCCCCCATGTGCAGCCAAGGATCACTCAGGTCTGGAACAATCAGTGCGGTGGCCAGTGAACCATGCCTTTACCTGCACAGGTGCCAGTCTTTAAGGTAGAGACGGCCCCGTGGAGAAGAGTAGTGCCCCTGGATGAACTCTTTCCAGTAGCTGATGTAATCTCTGAGGGGCATGTGTTCTTTAGGGTTCGAGTTGTATTCCTGGACCCCGCAGTTTGCAACAGGTACAACTACATCTCCTAAAAGGGGAGGGTCAGATACAGGTTTTTCTGAGTCCTCCAGCTTGTCCATTTTCTCCAACCCTGCCCACCCTCCAACTCACTGCTACACCGTCTCCACATCAATTCTTCCGGGAACCCACTCATGCCCTGCCTTCCCCCAAAACACTCAGTGGTGTCCTCTGCAGTATGATCTAAGGAAGCTTGGCCAAATGAGACTCAGAGGACCCTGCTCTAGTCCAGTGCTGGCGCTCGCCCTCAGTCCTTACCATAATTTTGAAGCAGATAATCGAAGTCAGGTTTCCCACTGGGTGTCACCCAGTGCTTCCTGCTGCCCCAGCCCTCGGTGAAGGCGCTGGAGAAAACACACGGCAAGTTGGGGAGCAGGTAACCCTTGAAGAAGTCCGCGTAGGAAAAGGAGTCTGGATTCTCAATAAAGTCCACACGGTCTGGGGTAGGGCAGACCCTGCTGGGGAGACGCCCTCGGAGGCGTCGGAAGTGACTCTCTGCGAACACGCGCGTTTCCCTGTCCATATCGGGCCAGGCTCGGCGTCCACACGGTGCAGGGCTTCAAAGGACAGAGGGGAGGCTCGGGACGGGACAAACGGGTGTGTCGTGGAATGGAGAAGCTTCCAGCAGGTCGGGAGGGGAAGAGGGGGCGTCTGCCGAGAGCGGAGGGACTGCAAGGGAAGACGCAGCTTGGGAGGACGACGTGCCAGTGATGCCACTGGGCGAAAGGAGGTAGCCAGACCCGGCCCCCGGACTTCCACAGTCTGGCATTTTAACCTAGGAAATGAAAAGGAAGTATTTCCTAAAACTACTTCCGGCGCAGAAGCTGTGGGCACTGGTGGCTCTCAGCCTCCGCGCCGGCTAGAACAAAATGAGATACACACACTACTGCGCTGTAGGCCAGACGCTGCTGAGCGGAACCAAGAAGCTGCGGGCAGCGTTCCTGCAGGAATGCGTATCAAAGCGCGCTGGGCCTTGAACGCATGCGCACAGTTTGCTGCGGCCCTCACCGGGCGTGGGCGCACGCGCTGGGAGGGGACCTCAGAACTGCCTGCTCACATCTGAGATTGTCCGCGTCCACCCCGGGTCTCCTCGTCTTAGCACTTCAAGACTCAGGAATGCGTCGTTTCTAGTCTGTGTCTGGGCCTGTGCTGCGCGGAGGACCCCTTCTTTTTTCAGTGCCCAAGTGGCAGGGGTAGGTGGTGTATTGTGGGCTGGGCTGAGAAAGGTGCAGAAGGGCCAAAGGTGGGGTACTAGGGGATGGTGAAAGACTAAGGGTATGATGGGGGACTTGGAGTGGATGATAGGGGCCTCGGGGAATGATGGGGACATGGAGAGTAATAGGAGAGCCTAGGGATTTTGTGGGAATCTGGAGGAGGTAATGGGGCCTATGGTGATGGTGAAACCTGGAGGGAATAATGGGGGGCCTTCGGGGATCATGGGGGCCTGGAGGGGATGATGGGAGCCTGGGGGATGGTGGGGACCTAGAAAGCATGGTCGTGACCCCGAGGGCATGTGGGGGCCTAGGGGGTGGTGGAGACCTGAAAGTTGGGGGGTGGGGTATGGAGAGATAGTGAGGACCTTCGAGGAGATGTTGGGTGCCCTGGGAGATACTAGGCATCTGGGAGCCTGGTGGTGGAGGAATAGGAGGACCTGAAATGAGAGTGTGGGGATCCAGAGGCCTAAAATGTACACCACAGGCCTAAAATGGTACATGAGTGGGGATGTGGTGGGGATGACAAGTCTCAGTCTCAGCATATTGGAGAAGTCAAGGTTCTACTGTCACAAACCTATCCACACCAGCATGGGAAGAAAGACATCAGACTTATTACTGTGTGAACTTGGCAGATGTATGTGGAGTGTCAGCAAGAGGGGACATAGTCATGCAGAACTTGACATCTCCCACACATTAAAGCAGAAAAAGAAGCAATGGGGCCTCTCTCATCTCATCTCCTGAAAGGAAAGATGGACCTGCCGTGCAGTCTGCACTGGGGGAGAGACTCCTGACTTCCTGGAGCTTTGTGTTTGCAGTTCAGTCAGGACAGTTTCCCTGGAAGGAGAACAGGGAGTACCAGAAGCAGAAAGGCAGGGAAGGGAGGACTAGGAGGAAAGTAAGTTTGGGGGAATCTGAGGCCCAGGTGGAAGGGATCTGAGGTGGGAGCAAAGAACACTGGTCAGATGGGACTGAGGGTGGGAGTTGTCTGTGGCAGGTGGAGCAGTGGGAGGTGGTGTGTGATTTGTGTCCCATGCACCTTCTTTGCCTGTGGGGTTAAGGTGTGGTATTCCTCACCGGGCCATTGTAGGACAGGCAGTTTGAACACACAGTGAAGGCAAAATGCAGAAAAAGAGTCACCAGTAATCCCATCCAGAGAGGAGCATGTTTTCATTTTTGAGGTAGAATGTGTTCATTCATTCATTCATTCGTGTTCCCTCCTTACCCCCTGCCCTCACTCCCTGTACACTCACACAGCTGTGGAGAGTGCAGGTCGTGGAGGGCAGCGGGAAAAGTATGGGAAGGAAAGTATCATAAGTACCTAAGGATTTGGGAAGTATCGGTCTAAGTTTGCCCTATTGGAGAAATGTGAAATTCAGGTGGGTTGCTGGGGAGGGATCCAGTTCCTGAATGAAGGCATGTGGTTGAGAGTGAATTTCCTAAGAAAGGGCAGGCTCCCAAGGCTGTTACTCAGGTAGGATGTAGGGTCTCCTTTCTGGAGCACTGGCTGGTCCAGGCATTTGTGTTATGTTTTCCCTAGTCTACATGGTGGCCTTCTGGCATCAGCATTGTCACTTCCACTGTACATCCGCAGCTCTGACAGCATCAGCAGTAGAGCTGTGTCCCTTCAAGGCCACTAGACGGCAGCCTTAGCATCACCTGGGATTGGTGAGAAAAGTACATGCCTGGGGCCCACCCAGACTCACTGTGGTCACATCCTGGGGGCGGGCACTTCCTAGTGGCACACCCCTCCAAGGGCCAGAGAGAAAACAGCATAAGGGAGTAAAAAGTAAACACTTTATAGGAAATGCAGTGGGAATTACATAAAATCCTGGTTGTCTGCTCTGAGGAGCTAGAAAGATGAGGGCACACCCTGTGAATACACACTGTTGTTTCACTAAAACATCCCCAATAGCACTTGGAACCTCCCAGATTGAAAGTGGGCGCCTTGGAGGAGCAGGAGGTGAAGGTAATGGAAAAGGCTGGCTGCAGCCACTGCAGACACTGCTCCCACTGTTCCGACTCTGAGCCTTCTTGTGGTCAGGAGTTATTGGAAGGTGTGTAAAACGTTGCTGGTTCTGTTTCTCTGGAAATTAACTAAAAATAGGTGTTTACTTGATGCTGAGTCTCACTGCAGGCACAGGTCTGATGCAAGGGCTGAGAGAGATCTGTTTTACTAACTGTCATGTGTTGTAAGTGCAGCCCAGGGCCTGGGAGCATCACTGGTGATGAGCCCCAGATGCCCTTGGGGGGCCTTGCCATGACCTTCCCTCTCTGTTTCAGCTCTATTCCTAGGGTCCATGCAGGTCTGTGAGTCTTTCACTGGCAGATGTGTTTTCTAGATTACAGCAGGCAAGGACCAAGTAAGGACTCCAGAACTCAGCATTGATTGGACTTGGGTCAGCACGTAGAAGGAAGACAGTGGTCTGCAGTGGACAGGCAATGTTTCCTCTTGGCATGACTCAGGCATCACTCAGCAGGCACTTCCTGGGCACCTGAATGTACCAGCAGGGTGCACAAGGCACCCTCTGTGTGGTTGCTTCTCCATTGTATAGACCCAGTTGGTCCTCATGTGGGCACACTCACAGGCCCCTTGGAGTTGTGGTGACTGCTGTGGAGGGTGAGGGCTCCATTCCCAGGTGGCGGGGGTGGGGGGAGAATTTTCCCCTGGGGCAGAGGTTACTCAGCATCCTGGGGCAGCAGGTGGGGCCCTGGGGAACAGAGTGGAGCACAGGTGGGAGGGACTGGGTGGTGAGGCTGCAGCTCAGCAGAGCCTGTGGGGCTGCAGAGGGGAGTAGATTCGGCTCAAAGCATGTGGGGAAAGCTTTTGGCAGAAGAGCAGCCTTTTTCTTTGACTTACTTTATCTTATTTATTTCACTTAACGTTAATGCTCTATTTTTGTCACAAATAGCAGAATTTCCTCCTTTTTTATGACTGTACTAGCATTCTGAATATATATCTAGAAGTAAGATACCTGGGATTGTGTGCCACATTTCCTGATCCTGTGTTATGACCGTCACATTGGTTGCTGGATGGAGAATGGGCGGTAGGTGCAGAGTGAGGCTGGGGGGAGGGCATCGAGGGGTTTTCTGGAAGAGTGGTGACAGCCTTGCCTGGTGGTGTGGCTGTGGCATTGGGGCAGAGGGCAGATGCGGGCACAGCTGCCAGGACTTGCTGATGGATTGTTGAGAGGGATGAGGGAGGGGGATCCAGGAGATCCCTTCCCCTGTGGTGCCATCATGGAGTGGCAGGAGGAGAGGTGGAGACACTTGTTGGGTGGTTGAGGGGAGATACCCAGGCTATTCTGATGTCCATGGTGAGCAACCCTGGGCTAGAGGTCAAGCTTGGGAGGCAGCAGCTCAGAGGGGACTTTCATTGCCACAGAGCTGTGTTGACTCACTGAGTAGGAGAGTGTGGTGTTGATGAAGAGGACCAGGCTGTGTCCTTGATTATCCCAGCATTCAGCAGTCGGGGAAGAAAAAGAGCCAGCAGAGGAGACGGGAACACGCACCTGGAGAAGTGGGGCAGGAGCCCAGGGAGCCAGGATGTGGTGTCTCTGGAGGAGTGGCTGTGCTGGACAGAGGTTAGAGCAGTGTGGGTGTTGGGTTTGGCCCCTGGGGGCCTGTGTAGAGCTGTGCCAGGGAGTGGTGGGAACAGGAGCCTGTGTGGGGCAGGATGAGCAGAGGGGACCATAGGTGTCTGTTGGAAGGGTGGCAGCTGGTCAGGGCTATAGAGAGGTGGGGGAGGTGTGTGTATGTGTGGCAGGTACAGCTCCTAGAGAAGGTGTGTAGACTATGGAGAAGATGGAGGGCAGGATGGTGACTGGGCCTGTGGCCGAGTCTGCTGCTCCTTTTTCATAAGTGAGGTTCATTGAAGCCACCACACTCTTCCATGTGGTCTCTGCTGCTTCCGCTGTCCAGCGGCCCAGACGAGCATGGTGCTGGAGACCACAGGCCCAAGAGCCTAAGCTGGGCGCTGTCTGGCCCTTAGCAGGACAGCAAGCCCCTGGGACCATGGGGAGGGAGAAGTTGATGTTGCTGGAGAGGGGCAGGGCTGGAGCCAGGGGCACAGGTGCCTGGCCTTTGAGGAAGCAGGACATTCTTCCCTGTGAGCTGGACGGGGGGCCTGGGGAAGACAAGCACCCAGAGAGGTGGGGGCCTGTAGGTGGAGTCCACTTGGTGCTCTGCTGTGGTCTGTTGGGAAAGCTGCCATGGAAACAGGTAGGAAAAGTTGTAGCCACAGGAGACTCCTGTTGATTTTCCCTGGTGTTTGTCAAACCTGAGTACTTATTCATCTTTCTTATGGCTAGTATAATAGTGAGAAGTATTTGGCTTCTCCTATTTCTGCCCTCACTCTCCTCTCCTCCCTCCCCCCTCCCCTCTTCCCTCCCTTTTTGAATTTTACAATATGTTAGAGCTGATGTTGTCCTCAGGTCTTTCATCTCAGAAGGGAAGTAACTTTTCTCTGGTATAAAGTTTGTGGTGGGGCTGAGGTTGGAAGTACAGCATGCCTCCTCAGATGCTGCAGGCCAGACTCAGCAATTCTGTGGGACATGTGTGCAGAGTCTCCCTCAGCGCTTGGGCCTGGCAATTGTTCACATCAGTTCAGTTTCCATGCTAACCCCGCTCTCAAAGTACTGGGCGGTGGCATATAAGATATGCCTCTCCCAGCCCTCTCCAGAGGCTAGACATGGTTTATGGCTGCTGTGGGTGGCAGGTGGGGGGAGGTTCCTGTCAGCAGGGGGACCAGGGTCTAGCCCTGGTCAGGGCTGGCCAGCTTATTATCTTAGGCATGGAAATGCTGGAGACCATGGTGACAATGATATTGTTAGTCATCTCCTAATTCTGGAAGTAGAGCCCTTTTGCATTTTTCACAGTCCAGCAGGTTGTTTGTGTGGTTGGTGTGTTGGCGACAACAGGCTGGGGCCTGTGGCCCCTGCTCCCTGGGCTGTAAGAGGCCAGCCCCATGCAGCCTGCTATGCATTTTGTTTGCATGTGTCTCAGAGTGCCCAGTTGAGTGCTCCTCTCATGAGCAAGGACGCAGGTGCCCTACGGTTCCCTCTGCCCTGTGTGTGCTGTCGCACAAGGAAAGGCAGGCCCAGCTGCTCTGCCCCTGCAGTGAGCTTCCACGAGGCCCAGCATGTGCCTCAAGAACATAGCACTGTCCTATATTCAGAGGTCAGGGGTCAGAGAGCTGAGGACCTCCTCACTGGCTTCTCAGTGACATGAGCGCGTGGACTCCCTGGCTTCTTCACAGAGTCTCCTGAGGTGAGAGTGAGGCTGTTGTTGGCTGCATCTTTAGTGTTGAGACTTCTCTCGGTCTAGCACTGATTGTTCTCCTGGCCAAGAAGACAGGTTCTTGGGTTCCTGTCTGCTTGGGCGAATCTCTGACCCTGTCAGCCTCAGGTCCCCCTCCTCTGTGGCCTGGGGTGCTGATGCCCATCAGTGTACGGGAAGGTGGCCCTGGGCCTGCGGCTCCCTGCCCCAGTCCTACCACATTCTCCAGGTAGAAGGCTTGTCTTCCTTGTGGTCTTCATCCACAACAGCCTGTTTTAGAATGTTCTTTACCGCATATTATCTTTGCTCTTCCGTGGAAGTATGTGCAGTATTACTGGTGCTTACTAGTAAGTGTTCTGTCTCCTCACCTGTATACTCCTCTGGTGTTTGAACTGTATGGTGTCTCCTTAAATATCCAGATCCTGAGGCTGCTACTTTCTTAGAATTGACGCTTATGCATGACACTCAATGATGTTAGTACTCTTGAAAGAGTATTGGCCAGGGTGTCAATGGACTTCAAGAGCTGCTGCCACGATGTGCTTGCACATTCATCCATGAAATGTGAGTTGGACAGAGGTCTCTGTGGCCCTGCCAGCCCTGATATCTTTGTATTTATTATGTCTGAGTCCCATTTCTTACTTGATTTTGTGATGATGACGAAGTTCTCAGACTGAATGTAGCAGATCTTTTTTAGGCTTGTCCTGATCTCAGGTATTTGTAATGAGCTCGGCTGGACTGCTGTGGGGGACTGTGTAATGGGAACTGGGGGCACATGTGTGTGTCCAGGGAGTGTGGGCCTGCCCTGTTGTCATGATGAAGAGAAGTTCCAGGGCGCATTGGTGAAGCACTTGAGTCAGATTAATATCAAAGTTAAATTTATTTGTCCTGTGGTAGAATCAAGTTGTTTTGTTCTAACCTGACACCTTAATTTTGTGTTCACTGGTACATTCTTCCATCTTCTCCTCTTCTTCATTGTCATGTGTGTGTGTTTGTGGCCTGGTGCTGTCTGTAGCTAGCTCAGATTACACGATAAGAACTAAGGAGGCCAGACGGTAGATTCTCAGTGAGGTGGTGTCCTAGCAGTCATCTGAGAAATAACAAAAAAGGTAAAGAGGAAGCTATAAATTCTTCCCACTTCCAAGGGATGGGCAGTGTTAGTTCCAGACACATTGAGGGATTAAATAGGATCATGATGTCCCATGGAGCATGTAAGAGCCCTTTGATACAGCAGTTCAGTTATGCCTTACCATGAGGTGTGGACTAGGTACAGCTTTATCTCCATCTACAGATCAGGAAAGGGAGGCAGAGCGGCTAAGTAACTGGCTGGGGTCACATGCAAGTGAGTGGCACGTCACTGTTGTCAGTGTGACAGCCATGTGGGGGTGTATGGTCTCCTGTCTTCTTGGGCAAATCTCTGACCCTGTCAGCCTCAGATCTTCCTCCTCTGTGGTCCAGCTGTGTTTCTGCCTATCGTAGTGATTTCAGGTGTTTGTGACATGGTAGCATCTGGTATATCTTTCATATGTACGTTTATTAGTAGTTTTAATATAGCTTGTATTGTTACACCTTTCATTGAAGTACTAATGCAAAGAAATGAACAAATTATAAGAATAGAAAATGCACAGATCTTGACGTACCACCGAATGAGCACACCCAGGCCAAGCAAAGGTGCGTCACCAGCCTCAGGGGCTCCTGTAGGCCCCTCCCTGCCACCCAGTTGTAAGCATTCTGACTTCTATTTCTAAGCTTTTCATACACTTATTTTTTAAATGAATTAAAATTTGGGGAAGCTTTTAATATTCCTTAGGGTGTTATGAATTGATAGAGTGGGTTTCTGAGTTTACTTCCCAAATACTTAGTTTTATTAGAGGTTCTGATGTGAAGAACCAACTTTCCGAGCAGAATGACCTCTGGTGCACATCACAGTTAGGAACCACGCAGGGCTCCATCACAGTGAGACCAGCAGGCCATCAGTGAGTGAAACCTGCTGCAGTTTGTAGTTGTGCCTGTGGCAGCAGATGGAGGCCCTGGTCAGAGAGAAAGGGCTTGTTGTGCAAGGCACAGCAGGCTTCACAGGGGCTGCTGTTCCTCACCCAAGGTTCAGAGGGCCCAGTACACGCTGCACACAGTGTGGGTTTGTGTCACAGCAAGGGCCCTCCAATTTTATAAGGGGGCTGCTAACAAACCTGCCTAACTCTTGCCCCCTAGAGGACAGTACCCTGTTATCCAGGTTGACCAGAGGGAGACAGCGCCTGCAGCTGAGAGAAAGACAGTTACGGTTTGGGACAGACGCTCACACCAGATGTGCCTCTCAATAATGCCCACCTCTTGTTTCGTTATCACCTTAGCCTTGGTGAATGTCCCCATTTCACTCCGTCAGCCCCTCTGATTGATTTGACTGGGGCTAGGTCTGCAGTTTGTCTGATAGTGGCACGGCTGCCATCAGCAGGACTCCAGACAGCTAGAGGAGGCCAGCCTGTGACACTGACCTCAGTTGGGCAGGGGGTCCCTGCTAGACAAATGCTGTAAACCAGGGGTGTCAAACTCATTTTCACCGGGACCACATCAGCCTCATGGTTGCCTAGAAAGGGCAGAATGTAATTTTAGCACTGTGTAAACGTAATTACTCCTTGACAGTTAAGTGAGAGTGCGGTGCTGCTGCTGGGTAGAAACAGGGTGCCGGGCCAGGTAAAACAAGGTGGAGGGTCAGATTTGGCCCACGGGCCTTGTGTTTGCCACCTCTGCTATAAACCATCAGTGTTTGTGCCATTCATTCAGTCACAGAGTGTCCTCTGAGTTAGAATTATGAACAAAATACTTGCCCTCTGAGAGCATACAGGCAAATAAGCAAGTGATCATCCTACTGCATGTAGGTGCAGTGAATGTGTCTGGTCTGCATAACCCCACAGTAGGCGGGGTGGGCTGGGTGGAGAGGTAAGAGCTGCATGGCCGGGCTCTCTCCTTATGGAGAGATCGCAGTGGCAACGTTCAGTGCTCTGGGTGACAAATGCCAAAAGCAGGAGACAGCCCTATAGGCTTTGGACTTATGTTTGTGTTAATTCCCTTTGCATTTGATGATACATTGCCTTTTCTCAAATTGCTGTTTCTGTATAGTTAGGAATCAGTTCTACACAAGTTCTTTAGTTGCAGAGTCCACTTTTTTTTCAGGCCTTATGCTGCTTGATGTGGAGCCTGCACAGCAATTGCATGAGGAGTCCAGGTTTCTGGAGTGTGGCTCGGGGAGGAAATTCATAGCTTTCCCCTGCGTTCTAAGCTACAGAGCTCAGGACTCTGTCACGGTCATTTCTCTTGTCCCTGCAGCCCACATGGTGGCGTAGTGGCAGAAACCTATTGACCAAATGCAGAGAATCTGTGTGGCCTCTAGCCAGACTGTGAAAGCCCAAACTTTTCATTATTTTAAGAGATAATGTTAGTCATTTTAATTTTCGTAAATGAAGCTTCATCACGGTTGAAGAGCGTATGTGAGAGAGCGTGAGAGAAGTGGAGGACGTGTGGTTTTGCAGTGGACTGCTGCTTAGAAGAGCGTGGCCAGGCCTGCCTGTTAGCCCCGTTGGCATCATGACCGAGCAGTTTGACTCTGGATGAGGTCTTTGTCCTTCTGCAGCCATGCAGTCTTCATCTGTCCAAGAGGTTGGGCTACCTGCTCTGTAAGGTTTCACGTCCTCCTTTCATGGCTTTTCAAACTACATTGATAAATGCTAACTATAGATAAAAGTACATATAAATATAAACATATATATGTATATATATAACTCCATCATTGAGTGGAACTCTAAGTTTGTAGGACTATTTTTTCTATGAAATTATGTGTATAAAAATTTCAAAAGGAGACTCTTTGTCCATTTAGAGACTTGTGAAGAATGCGTAGGGATCGGGCCATCACAGCTGAAATGGTGTTCATATGAAGGGTCTTGTGGTGGTGGCTTCTAGCAGTTTTCTTCCTTCAGTCATGTCCAGCTGTGGACCCTGGTCCCAGGGGAGGTGCTCCGGTGGGCATGGAGCCCAGGGCCTTGCAGCTTTGGGAAGAGCATGAATCTAAGATGTGGCCATCCTTTGTCTGCTAAGAGGGGCAAAGACTTTGTCCTCCCTGTCCCATATGGGGTGAGCGCTCTTGCCAGGTGGGGACCTGCTGTATGCCAGTGTCTTGGGTCTGCTCTGAACCGAGACCTTGACACCCTCACTGGCTGTGTCCTAGTGTCTCTGGCTCAAGTGTGATGGGACATTTCAGCCTCACACAGCCGCTGACTTGTCCTTTCTCTTTCAGAGTGGAGTGGCTTTGGCTGTGGTGCACGCTGAGCCCGGAACCAGATGAGCAGAGACATCTACATCCACACCTGGCCGTGCTCCTACTATTTAGAACTTGAGAAGCGATGGGTTCCTGGAAAACTCTTGTTAACTTCACGCTCAGTAAGATTTATGACTGATAAAACTGGAGGCTTTCTTGTTGACTTTCCCCTTGCCAACATAGTTGAGATCAAGAAAGAGGCTTCTCATTTTATCTTTGGTGCTGTCACCATCCTGGAAAAGGACAATGTCAAGCACTGGTTCAGCTCCTTGCAGCCTAGTCGGAATGTTGTTTTCCATGTCATTGAGCATTTTTGGAGAGAGGTGCTGCTGTCTCAGCCAGGAGCTGCTGGGGGGTCATCAGCCTCCCCTGAGACCAAGGGGAAGCAGCTAACTGGTCTCATGGCCTGTTCCCAGAAGCGTCTGGAAGATGCAGCCACGGTCCTACACTTCCAGGGTGAGCAGCTGGACAGCATAGCAAGCGGCCTGGACAGAATGGCTTCCGACCTGGACGTGGCTGACAGGTGAGGCAAGTGCTGCAGTCCTGTGCTGCTCTTGGTGGCTAGGGGGTCTTCTATAACCCGTATGAACATGGCTCACACCTGCTGTGGACAGGGGTGCTAGGCTGGCTGCGCTGGGCGTGCAGGGGGAAAGGACCGGTGTTGACTGCAGGCGCACCATTGCCAGGTCCGTGTGAGTTCAGTGAGGATCCCCTATTTAATCCCTAGACTAGTCAGGGACAAGTTGTTGCTGGCTTCACTGTGCTGATGGGGAGACTGAGGCTGAGAGGCCAGGGAATTTGTTCAAGGTCATACATGCTAAGTTTGTTAGCATGGTTTATTTGTTTGCATAGCTGTGGAGTGGCTGGGTTTGAACTAAAACATGTTGGCTCCAGAAGCTGCCACCTGAGCTGTTGGACCAGCCACTCTCCAACCATGGTTGTGGGGCCCTTCTACTCTCAAAAACTGAGGCACCTGAAGAGCTTTTGTTTCTGTGGGTTATGTTATATTTACCATGTACTTTTAAAGCTAAAAATTTCAAAGTTATTCACTTACAGAATACAATAATAAACTCATGACCTAGTAATATAAATAACATTTTTTTGAACAATAATGTTATAAAGCAAAACCTGCTCAATGAAGAGTGGCTGTTTGAGATTTTGCATCTCTGTAAAGTGAGGCCTAGGGGAGTGTTGGGTTTCTCAAGCCTGCTTCTGCAGTAAGTGCCATGCTGTCCAGTCCCGATGGAACAAGAGCAGCAAAGCTGGAGAATGTTGTGGCACCATGAGGAAGTGATGCTGACCACACATTGACAGGTGCTGGTCTGACACTGAGACATGCAGAGTTCTCCAGGGGTCTTAGAGTCTAGTAGGAATAGCTCTCTCCACATGTGGGGGGGGAGGGGTGGGGGCAGCCTCTGGGTTATGGGCCCTGAGCACAGCCTGACACCTTGGATGAGGTCTGCGTGGGTAGTGTAGGTGGGTCCTTGCCCCTGAGGGACCCCACCCGCACGCACCACCTGTGGCTGATTCCCCGAGTACCTGCCTGTGAAGGGCCAGCTGCAAGGACATAGCCCCAGACCCTACCCTCAGGAGGGGCTTGCGGGGAGGAGATGAAGGGCACTAGATCTTTGTCAGTTTGCCTCTTGGAGATCCCGCAGAATACTATGTGTTAGGTGGATTAAATGTGCAAAGTAGCACAATGGGAAAACTGTGGAAAGGGTGACGGTGAGAAACCTGAGCAGCACTTCTGCAGTGAGCAGCTGGCGCTCCTGGAGGGCTGTGCTCCTCAGGTTCGGGGCCTACAGCGAGTCTTCTCGCTTCTTCCTCACATCTGGGGACGCTTCTGCTGTTAATTGTTTGATAATTTCTTCCCTTCAGTTTTTATTTTTTTATTTTTTTTAAAGATTTTATTTATTTTTAGAGAGGGAAGGGGGAGAGAGAGAGAGGGAAGGGGGGGGGAGAGAGAGAGGGAGAGGGAGAGAGATACATACATACATCAATGTGCGGTTGCTGGGGGACATGGCCTGCAACCTAGGCATGTGCCCTGACTAGGAATCGAACCTGTGATGCCTGGTTCGCAGCCCACGCTCAATCCACTGAGCTACGCCTGCCAAGGCTTCCCTTCAGTTTTTAAAATGTATTCCTTTTGGTTATCTGACTTCGTGGACTGATCTAACAGTGTTCTCATTTTTCTCTTTCCTTGTTCTTTTGTTTTACTTTATATTTCTTGTATTTTATCTTCTTACCCTTCTATTTTCTATCAAATTTTTAATTTCCAAGAGTTATATTGTGGTCTCTAGATGCTCTTGTTGTTTCATGGGCTTTCTGTGCTGTCTCCTGGACTTATGGGCGGTTTTGTGCAGGAAGGGCTTGGGCCTGCCACCTGGTTCAGAAGGAAATTTTTCTCCTCTGAATGCTGCTGCCTCCAGACATGCTGGCCTAGTCCAGTGGGCTCCTTCTGGTCCCTCTGCTTCTGAATGGGGCCCAACAGTGCAGGCTGGGTCAGTATGTGGGGGGTGTCTCTCGCCTGCTCTTCTGTTTTCAGTCCTAACTCTTCCTCTGTCTTCAGAGATTCCTGGCACCACCTGTTTTTCCAGTTAGGGTACTGCCATGCAACCTAGGTCATTTTTCAGCTTCTCCTTTGTCCGGTGGGAATTAGGCTCTTCCATAGAATCACAAGGAAAACATTCCAAGGACCCACACATGGGAGATTGTGGAGTGGCATCGTTTATTTGTGTGGAAATAGAAGCTGCCACCTGGGTTACCAATGTCCCATCTCTGTCCCTCCTGCCATGGAAAATGTCCAACTGTGTCCTCAGAAATGCCAAGACAAAAGCCAGTATCCAGAGTTTCTGCTTCATATTAAAGCTCAGTTCCTTGGAGCCCAGTGGCTGCTAAATGGTCTTAGTCCCCATCTAGGTGGCTGAGCTTGTTCCCAGCTGCTCTGGTGGCAGAGTCCATGTGGTTGCTAAGGCCACATGGCTGTAGAGAGAGAATGTGCAAGCGTGCAGGGCCAGAGTGTTCTAGGTGGGTGAGAGAGCTCAGTCCTTGGAGCCCACACCATCAGCTGTGGGCCTCATAGTGGCTAGACCCACATTGTCACGTGCTTCTGGGCAAGAGAGCACATGAACAAATGGGCAAGTGCATCACAGAGTGGGGGTGGGGGGAGGGAGAAGAGAGAGAGAAGAAAGAGAGAGAACAGCAAGGGTGAGCTTCTTTATTTCCTGGGATTATATATGCTTGGGTTTGGGTGGGGCAAGGTCCCTTTTTCAGAAGAACCAATCAACTTCCCAGCCGTCTGCAGGCTTTGGAGGGGTCCACCCCTTAGCCAATCCATTGTTCCCCAGGCTGGACTGACAGGCCTCTATGGTCTAGCACCTCCCTCTGTGCCCCCAACAATGGAATACTGGAGTGGGGAAGGGAGAGTGTTGATCCCCTGGGTGGAACACAGAGCTATAATCCCCCTGGGTGTGATGCTATAGCTTCCTGGCTAGTAAGCAGGTTTATGCCTCCAGTGTATTAAGCCGAATGTGTCTAGTTCACTTTGCTCTCTTTCCTTGATCAATGTCTAGTTAAATACTACGGTAACATTCCCACTGCTGCCTTACAGTTGACTTTCTTGGATTTGCTACATCTGTTTTTGAGTCTTTAAAATTATGTTACCGATGTCTCTTCTCTTAGCCCTCGGGGAAGATGAATGTTTTCAGTTTGCCATCTGTGATATTGTGATTTATAGTTAAGAAATCTATATTTGGTCTTCATTCTAGGTTTGGCACAGAGCTCACGAAACCTTTGGAATCTCTGATGACAAAGGTCTCTTGTGAACGAGGTGATTTTATTCCACCCCTAAGGATGGGGCTGGTCTCCAGGGAAACCAACCCTGGGATTAGAGAGTTGAAAGTTTTGGTCCCTTGGGGAAAAGGAGAGGGGCTGGAAATTGAATCTATCCCCAGTGGCCAGTGATTTAATCAATGGTTCATGTGTAATGAAGCCTCAATAAACACCCAAAAGCACAGGGTTTGGAGAGCTTCCGGGTCAGTGTGTGTACACAAGGAGATAAAGAGAGTGGTGGGCTCAGAGAGAAGGGAAGCCCCCAGCCCCTTCCCATACCTGGCCCTGAGCACCTCTTCCATCTCGGCTATTCCTGAATCTTATTCTTTTATAATGAACCAAAAAGTAAATGTTTACATTCTATGAGCCACTTCAGCAAATTAATGGAACCCGAGGATGGGGTTATAGAAACCTCCAATCTGTAACTGGTCAGTCAGCAGCATTGATGACAAGCCTGGTTTTGCCATTATTGTCTTAAGGAGGGGGAGTCACTCCTGTGGGACTGAGACCCTAACCTGTGGGGTCTGACCCTGTCTTCAGGCAGGCAGTGTCACAGCTGAGCTGGGTGTTTGGTGGTGGGGAAAAACCATACCTCAGAATTGGTGTCAGAATGAGCACATCTTTAACCAGTCCTCTCTCACCCATTTTTCATAAAGGCATATCCTTGAGTGTCTTCTTTTAGCATGCCAACGTAAATTTTTTGTTACCAGAGGAAATAGGTTCTTCCACTGTGTCACAGGAAATGAATTTTAGGGACATACATGTAGGAGAATTTTAAGTGCTAGTGGCAAGATTTATTAGGGCAAAAACAAAGGAAGACTTAGGATAGAAGAGGCAAGATCACAGCAGCAGGAGTGAGCCTGGACTGAGCTGCCTAGATTCAGGAAAGTAAGTTATAGAGGCAAAAAGGGGAGTCTTGAAAACCCACTTCTTCCCTGGTCATGAGTCTTGTGGAGGCCCTTAGAGTTCAGGAGAAAAGAAAGCAAAAGTATGAACCGAGGAAGGGTGGGCAGGGCACAGATTCCTCTGAGAAGGCTGCCCAGTAGGATGAGGCACTTCCCTGGCAGGTCCAGCTGCAGAAGCTGGTTGACGTTGGTCTGTTCCAAGGTACACCACGTCCAGTGTCTCATCCACAACCAAGTGGTTTAGCTCTGTCTTGCCACAGGAGAAATCCAGCTTCTGGGGCCGCAGGCCTATACCCGTGTCTCCTCGAACCAGGAGGCCCAGGGCCCAGAGCTATGGCACCTTCCCCTGGCACCCAAGGCTCCAGTAGTTCAGCTCAGTACAGTCTCTGCTCCTGGCTGCTGTATGGACTGTGCAGCTACCACAAGGAGACTGGGACCCTTGTCAGGCTTCCCTGTATTTTCTTGGGCTTGGGAGAGAACAGGCTTTCTTTCAAACTGCCCAATCTCTTCCCTAGCTTTTCCCAGGCTTGCATCCTAATCCTGTTTGATCTTTTCCCCAGGTCTGTCTACCCTCTATGGTCGCCATCTTGGCTTCTACTGTGCAATCCTCAGTGGAAGGATCTCCCAAGGAGGAGGAGAAACATCACTCCTCCTCTCAGAAGAAGCACCATGTACTTCAAAGCTACCACTTCCTACTTACTGTCTGATTCCATTTGTTCCCTTTCTTTGTTAGGAACTAATACCTGCTGTAACATTTTTATCTAAAATTCTGTTTTAGCCCTTGATG